GGATATTAAATGTTCTTAATTTGCCCCTCCGTCCTCTGTCTTCGCCCCAGAACAAGATGGAGGAATGCGCTGAAATGTCCCCGGCCCTTCCTCCCTCTCACGGCCCGACTCCTTCGCAGACAGCCCTGCAACACACACAGCTCATGCTGACCGGCTCCCAACTAGCAGGGGTGAGACAGACACGCAACATACGCACACAAAAGAAAAACCTTGCTTTGCTTTTTTATCTCGCTTCTTGCTTTTCTTATGCTGCTTTTTTTTTTTTTTTTTTTTTTAAGACTTTGTTTCCTTCCTTGTCTTTCCTGTGCGCTCCTCTCCTCTCCTCTCCTCTTCCTCTTCACCAGTTGACAGCTCTGTTGCCGGCACAGCAGCAGTTGTTGCTGCAGCAGGCTCAGGCGCAACTCCTGGCTGCAGCTGTTCAGCAGTCCAATGCAGCCCATGCAGCTCATGCCGCCCATGCAGCCGCCCAAGCCAATCAGCAAGCTCAGGCAGCTGCAGCAGCAAATCAGCAAGCCCAGCAGCAACAGCAGCAGCAGCAGCAGCAGCAGCAAGCGGGACAAACGGGGCAGCAGGCTCAGCCACAGTCCCAGGGACAGGGACAGAGCACACAGGAACAGACAGTCCAAAGCGTCCCTGTCCCACCTCCTCCACCCCAGCTTACCCTTTCCCAGCCAATTCAGCTTACCGCCCAGGTACCGACTTCCAATAAAAGCCATTTTACGATGTCTTCATAAAGAGGCCGCTAATATTTCACGGAACTATCTTTCTAGCACGTCTGTTGTGTATTTGATGATTCACAGTTTCCACGTTGGGAAAATGCACACATTTGACTTTTCTCCTCTCTGAGTCACGCGATATAACAACAATACACTTTTCATCCTGCTTCTACGAGTTCTGTTCAGCCGAATCTGCTTCTTTTCCTTTTTGTATGTGTCTCTAATTTTTTTTCTCAGAAATTAAAGAAATGATTGTCTCTGATCTGTTCATTCTCCCTTGATTGAACAGGACATTCAGCAGTTGCTTCAGCTTCAGCAGTTAGTGTTGGTGCCTGGTCACCCACTCCCATCTCCTGCCCAGTTCCTCCTCCCACAGGCACAGCAGGGCCAGCAAGGTGGGCAGGCACTTTTCAAACACAAAAACTTATACTTGTAAACACAAAATCTGCCTTTATTTTAAATCTATTTACACTTGCTAATGCTTCTTCTTCTTCTTTTCTTTCAGGACTCCTTTCAACACCAAATCTTATTCCGCTACCTCAGCAAAACCAAGGGAGCCTGCTCTCTGCTCAAACTAGAATGGGACTCCAAGCACAGGTAGGAGGAAACTTTCATACCTTAGTCAGTGGAAAAGGAAAGTCTGGTATTTGCACCAGTGAAAAATATTTTCACTTTCACTCCTCTACAGCCATCCCCGCTGCAGCGAGATAAGTGTCTGGAGGTGAGTGGCGGTGGAGGCGTGACCACGGTACCCTCAGTGACTGCTCACCCAGAGGAGCCCAGTGACCTGGAGGAACTGGAACAGTTTGCCCGCACTTTCAAACAGAGACGCATCAAACTGGGCTTCACACAGGTAGGAGGAGACAACCACAGCGTGTGTGTGTGTGCGTAGGTGCGTGTGCTAGATACGCTATAGCATTGAATGATGTGTTTTGTCTTGTGTTAAACCGTTTGTTCTTTCGTCTCTCCTCCAGGGTGATGTGGGTTTGGCCATGGGGAAGCTGTATGGCAACGACTTCAGTCAGACCACCATCTCCCGCTTTGAAGCTCTCAACCTAAGCTTTAAGAACATGTGCAAGCTGAAGCCACTGCTGGAGAAATGGCTCAATGATGCAGGTGAGCCCCTCATCGAAACAACAGCACTGAACATTCAGACTATTTAGTGTAGTAGTTGAAATGAGGATCACATTTACAGAGAGTAGGTAGACATTTACTGCTTTGCACTGACTTCGTGCTACTGTTGTGCGGAATTTGTTCTTTAGAAACCATGTCCATAGACAGTACCCTGCCCAGCCCTAGCTCCCTGTCCTCTCCCTCTCTGGGCTTTGAAGGGCTTCCTGGTCGCCGCCGAAAGAAGAGAACCAGCATCGAGACGAATGTACGTGTGGCCCTGGAGCGCGCATTTATGACGGTAAGATAAGTAACTTATTACTATCCTTTGTTAATATTCGTCATGTTTCTGTTTTCTCTTGTCTTTACTCCTGATTCTCCAAAATTCGTCCTATGAAATATAATGTGATGTTTGTGATGTGGTTTATTGTTTTTGTTTGTTTGTTTGTTTTTATTGATGTCTATATTAAATACTCAGTGTGCTTTTGAATTGCCCCTAGGGGATAAATAAAGTTAACTGAATTGAACTGAATTGAATTGAATTAACACCTTTTATGTCTCATGTAGAACTTTTCAGACTGTCTTGTCACTGAGACGTGCTGTACGAATAAACTTGCGATCGCTTATCGTTCCATTAAGAAATGGAGAAACTAACATTAATTGGAAAAAGCAGATTAAAGATTGTCATTCATGTTATAGTTTTCTTGGACTGAAAGCTTCTTATATCAATTAAGTACAAGACACTGATGACAGAGGCAAGCTGATTCAATAATAACTGACTTTATCTTGCTTACTAGTGTTTTTATATATGAATAAAGATGATTTAGTGTTTATAAAGCTTTCAGTTCAACAGCATGTGGCTTAAATATAGCAAAGCTGAAAGGATCTGAATTCCTGTTCCCCCCCCCACCTGCAGAACCAGAAGCCTACCTCAGAAGAGATCCTGCTGATTGCCGAGCAGCTCAACATGGAGAAGGAGGTGATCCGGGTCTGGTTCTGTAACCGCCGGCAGAAAGAGAAGCGCATCAATCCCTCGAGTGCCACCCCTCCTCTGCCCAGCCAGCCCCCCACTGCCCCATCAACGCACAAACCGCCCTGCTACAGCCCTCACATGGTACATACCCAACCCTGGCATCCCTGTTGACACGTTGGCACGAAAGCACCACGGCCCTCACAGCGTGCTTCTGTATTTTAATGAATGGTTTCAATAATAAGCATACTTCTGTCTGTAAGAAACCTAAATGTTTTTTTTTTTCCCCTCCTTGTTGACAGATGTCCAGCCAGCTTTCGCAGGCTGTGACCAGTCTAAGCAGCACAACGGTGACTTCCATGTCCTCCGTCTGCCCTCTGACTTCCAGCCTCACCTCCACCCACCCCTCTCTCAGCTCTGCACCCTCTCCGGCGACTCCTCCACCTCCTCCCCGCAGCACAGCCAGCCCAGCCACTCCCAGCCACAGCACACTCAACCTCAACACAGGGTAAGACGCGTTCACAGCAAACCACCTTGGACCCCCTGCTCACTTAATTACAGTCGGGGGGGGAAAATGTGGGTTTTAATGGGACCGTTCACCCAAATAACAATAACTTATCTCTAGTGGTATCTAGCGATGCTGATGATTTGGGCTTTATTGGATCGAGATTGTACATTTATTGTTTGTCCGCTCATCCTAAAAGAGGAACCCTCCTGTTGTTGTTATTCCTTCCTTTTCATCTAGTTTTTCCTGTTTTGGGGGAGTTTTTCCTTGTACAGATTAGAAAACCATTCTAGGCAATTCACTTCGGCCTGTGTTTTTGTAAATCGAACTGACTTGATTTGATCTTTGAATTTGAATTTGATCTTGAGATGCTAACAATACTTAACATATGCAGTTAAGTACATTTAAAGCAAGAAATTAATAAATTAATGATTTATCTGTGGCCAAACATATGTCATAGTTAACCTGGATGATCCACAGACCGCACTGTGATGTCCTTTTATTTTAATTACCTTTTAAAAAAAAGAAAGAAAGATAATTAAAATGCAAAAAGAAAAATAGTGTGCATGCAAACAGTAAATTGTCAAGAGTAACAATGAGTTAATCCAGTTCAATCTTGTAGCAGAAATCGAAGAAAACAGGCTTTTTAAAACATAAACTAAACCTATGTTCATGGCTACATACTGCTATGTGAGATCTAACTGAGAAAACACATTAGGTTGTGTCTGTATTAGCATCCCTACTGAAGTCAGCCGCTTGAATGATTATTTTTAATCGATGGACGCCACAAGTAAACGAGCTTAGGCAAAAATACATTAACACGCGCAACAACTGCACGCAACATTTCCATAAACGTCCCGCTTTGAATACCGCACTCGGTTCACCTGCAGTTTGTAGTTAAATGCTTGATACTGTACACACACACACACAGCGACCGAGCACACACACACACTGATATCCTGACGTGCTGCTGGGGGGGGGGGCGCCACCTCTGCCATCCCCGTGCAGCAGTGCATTCTAACCCTGTGTGTGTATGTGTGTGTGGTTCTTGTGTTCACAGCTTATGGCGTATGGGTAAAAAGAACGGTGACGTGTCAAACTACATCACCGATTTTGCTGCAAACTTGAGGTGAACACGGCACGCATAAAAAAAAAAAGCATTCAGACAGTTCAAATGTGTTCGTGTGTGTATATTAATGATAAATAGGTAATGAGAGTTTACATGTTTGATGACATTTCCAGGATGCTCTGTGTCTTTCTGCATTTCTTACCTTTTGTCTATACAGCCAGTTGTCAGCAAGAAAAACACGCTGCTCTTTATATGTGTTAGGGATGAATTTGCCCTCTGTCTGTCCTTGCTACTAAACCTGCTGTTTTCCTCACCTTTTCTCCTCTGCCTGTCTGTGTTCGCGTATATGCTTGCACATGTGCGGTGCTGCGTGTGTGCGTGTGCCACAACAGGAACACTGTGATGGGAGTTAACACAGGGATGAACCAAGCCCTCCTCGGTAACAATCCCCTGGCCACTATCCAAGGTGTGTGTGTGTGAGAGAAAGAGACATCGAAAGGCAAATGGGTTTATTGGAGGAGAGAGAGAATAGAATGTTTAGCCTCAGCGCTACAGATAAAAAAGAATGTAATTTGGAGGTCAAGGCTGAGGTGGAGGTGGATAGTATTATCTCATTTCTAGCAAAATTCTAGGGTCACAGCTTACATAAAAATAAGCCCCAAAAATAAGCTTTTTCTTTTTGTTTTTTCACATTTAATGCACAGGTAATGTATTTATCCTCTCAAACAGCTCCAGAAAGCATTCTCTCATACACTCATACACACTTAAACACCCCGACACACACACTGCACTCAACAACTCTCCTCTTAAACATCTTTCCTACCCTTGAGACCAATATAAAAATAGCACCAAAAAAAACACACAGTCTGTCCTGCAGAAGTGACCACAAAAACAATCCTAACCACCATCAGCTCAGCAGAGCTCGTTTTTAATCATATTTGGTTGGGGAGGAGGTGAATTAAAAGGAGAAGTGCGATGATGATGAATAATAACAGTTGTACATGGTGGGTGAAGCCACGCAGTCTGACTACTGGCTGGAGACATGGATGAATAGGCAGCCAAGGGTGTTTGATCATCCACAGTATGAAGCAGCTGAGACACAGAGAGGTGCAGAGAAGCAAAATTATTTCTCATACATTTTGCCGTCTACCTCCACGAGTCCATCCCATCGAGTGTCTGAGTGTGAGTGATGGTGGGTACATTCATGTGTGCGCTGGTGTTTTTGTTTTCTGTGTGTGCGTCTTTGCTGTCTTACTCATTCTTAGCTTTTCGTGTCTGTATTTTATTAGTAGTAGAATATGTTCACCACCGCCAGAGATCAAACTAGCAACAGTGCAGTGCAACCACAAAACATCCTGCGCTTTAGGTAGTGAGGATAATTAACGCTTCTCTGAAAAAGACATGATTAGGCTGCATTATGCATTTGAGTCTGTCTGACACCTGTCACACGCAGCAGTCGGCGTATGAAACAAGCATTATATGAAGCTGTAAGAACTGCAAGAGAAAAACAATCACGCCGCTTGTTTCCATAACAACAGACCTCTCATGTCAGTTAACCTGCTGTAATGCCGTATCTAATCACTAAAGATTCGCTTGCTGGCGATGTTAGACAACGTTCAATTACTAGTTTTTTGTTTTTATTTAGTTTAGTTTTTTTGAATTAAATTTGCCAGCTTCAAAGTGAAATTGGTTCCCCCCAAAAAAACCCTATTAAGCGCATGCAGTGTCTTTTAGCTGCTCCATTTTCGGGAGTTTTCTCTGATTGGGTTCTGTCCTGTTGGAAATGATTAACATCAGTAGTGGTAGATGAAGAAGCAGGTAGACTGAGAGCATAAAATAAAACATCTGACTCCAAACAACTACTCTTTAAAACTAAGGATGAGGTGGAGTAGTTAGAGAAGGCATAGATCAAAAACAAAAAAATAAAAGTTTTTGTTATTATAATTCTGATCTTGAAACACTGTAAACATGTCTGACAGTATGATTTTTCTTTTCTTCTTCTCTTCTCTCTGATCCAGCCCTAGCAGCCAGTGGTGGCCAGCTGCCTCTTTCCACTCTTGAGGGGGGCAGCAAGGTGATGCTGGGGGCCTCAGGGGGCCAGGGAGGAGGCCTGCCCACCTCCCTCTTTCTCAACCACCCTGCTCTCCTCCACATGGGCCAGAATCCCGGTGCCGGATTGGTCAGTGCTGCCGTAGCCAAAGTTTCCCAGGCCTCACCTTTCCCCCTGGCCAGCAGCATCAGCCCGACACCCTGTTCCCCCTCTCCTTGCTCTAGCCCCGCCTCTTCCTGCTCCTCCAGCGAAATGGCACACAGCCCGCCTTCTCTGGGCGGGGCTAAGATTGAGTGACAGCGCCATGGGCCAATCAGAGAAGAGGAGGAAGGAAGAAACAAGAACCTTGCCTTTCACACCAAAGCTATCTCTTTCTCTCTCTTGTGCTCTTCTTCCGTTATATTTTTTCACAGTGGCTCTCTCTCTCTTTCTCTCCTGGTCTTTCGATGCCAAAAATACACAGAATGAAAGAGGAGAGAGGGAGGGAAAGACGTGAAAGAAGGGAGAAGGGGGGAAAGGGAAAGATTGAAACCAAAAATCTTTATCTATCCAAACAGATGGAAATGAGGCAACGTGGGACCTTTTTGTCAATACCATGTGATATCGACATGGCACCTCTCTGCTCTTTCTCTCTGAAGGAAAGCAAACCAATGACTCAAACAAAGAGACGAAGGAGACGGCAGAGATGCGTGTTGAAGTGCATAAACCAAAAATGACAAAACAGAACTTTACTATATAACAAAGAAATGGCGGCAAGGACAAGAAAAAAAAAAAGAAGAGGAGGACTGTGCTTACGTTTTCTTTTTTCTTTTTTTTTTTGTTATTACTTTGAAAAGCTGCGGGTCTGAAGGAAGAGGAGTGGGGAGGATATGTTTAAACCAAAAATTTACCTGAGGAGGAGACGGAGGAGGAATACACAATGACATAAAAAAAAAAAAAAGAACAACAACGAAAAAAAAACAAAAAAAAAAACGACAACCATACCAAAATCCCAAATACCAAAAACCAAAAATACGGAGAGAAAAGCTTTATTCAAAGGACGTGTAAATACTGAAGCTATCCAGGACCAGGACTCTACTGCTACTCACACACACACACACGCACATCAAGAGCCAATCCATCCTGTCATCGACTCATCCTGTCCGTGTCAGCTCATGTGTCTGTTGTAGGTTTTCATGCTTAATATTTTTTTGGATGATTCTTGTAAAATATGCCTTTTTTTTTTGTCAAGAGCTCATGTATGAATGATTGCCAGTCCTGCTGTGTCTTCATGCGTTTAGTCTCTTTACCTACCTCTGGTTATAAGAGCATAGAGTAGTTTGCTTTTTTTTCAGATTTTCTTGACAAGCTTATTTTTTTTACACTTTGACAAGTATAGTTTGGGGATTAGTTTTTTTTTTTTATTGATTATTTATTAGCGTCATGATAGAATTCAGCTCCTATTTATTCTCGCACACTATTATAGTGTTAGCTCTGGAGTTTTTAATCTTTATCGTTGTCATCGTCCTTGGTTTCATGGCCTATTTTCTTGTCATCAACCTGCATTTTTGTTGTTAATGTGACTTTTCTGCAGGAACACAGATGATGAAGGTGAAACGATGCTCATCTCAGTCCTCACCAAGTGCCAATAGATCAAAAGATAAGACTTGGCATATCGCGAGTTGATTTCAAGGTGTGAATAAATTTATTAAGACCTAAACATTTGACATTTCGTGCTCTTAATCAGGCCACTCTTTCCTCACTCCGAAAGATAACCCATTACCAGTGACTCCGTGGCTAAATGAACATGCCCTGGAAACTTCACAGACTGTTTGTCGAGAGTGGCGACCGTTTTAAGAGTATGAAATAGGGCTGTGATTGGAGAAATAAAGTAATTTCTGTTGATACTGAAGGATAAATAAGTCAATAAAGCCAAGTTTAGTCACAGCTGGCTCTCATTCCTGCCTTGTCAATCAGCATAGACGCCCCGACACCTGTATGTCTAGACACGTTTACTGATATTTGTCTGTTTTCATCATCACTCCATCAATCACATTTCACTGTCATTTTCCACCTCTACCTGCCATTAATTCTCAAATGGAAACCAAAGTATTCTCAAGGCTGGGCTCTTCTTCTAGAGCCTTAGTCAAGAACACAATAAAGACACAGAGGTGGTGGTGGTGGTGGTGGTAGGGGGCTCGAGAACAGGATGTTACCGCTGGACGCCCTCTGGTGTAATCCCCTCCACCTGGCCCATCCGAAAAACCCGCGGGGAAAGCTTTATTTAGGGAGTCGATTCCTTTACTCTGAACCCCAGAAAGAAGGGTACGGTGGGACGGGCAAAGGAGGGACGCGCTATATTGAGGGGAGCAGGCGTCACACTTTTTTGTAAGAGGATACCAAAAATAAACACAAACCAAAAAAAAACAGAAAAGAAAAAAAAAAAACAACACACAACCCAAGGAATGACAGAAGCAAACCAAAAAGAACCCAAACCAAATGTGGCTGGAGGGAGGAGGGGAGGAGGATAAACTGCAGGTGTTAAAGGAAGTGAAGTCTGTCTGTCTGTCTGTCAGCTTTAGGGCTGCAACGCTGGGCCCACTCTGAAACTGTGTAGCATGGATGGAGGGATGAATAGACAGGCAGCTAGACAGAGAAGCAGGAGAAGGACGGACAGTTCCTCCCCTCCTCTGCCTCTCTCTTTCTCCAGCTCAGCTCTCTGGTCCTGGATGGAGCTAAACGCAAATGACCTCACTGAACTGAAATCTTATAAAAAAAAAAAAAATCTGTTTTTATTTTTTTGTTGGTTGGTTCTGATTGTTTTATCTCTGCTGTGTCTCTTGATGCCGTTTTATGTACTGTACTTTAGTGCTTATTACTTATTTGGAATAACGTACTCGCTTACTTACTACAAGAGCTCCTTATTTTTTTCGTAGTCGTGCTAGAGATTTTTATCAGGTGGTTGGAAAAAATACTGTGAAAATTTAGCTTCCAGATTTTTATTAGATAAAGAAACAAACTGTCTTGAAAGGGAAAAAAAAAAAATAAGACAACACAAAAAACCAAAAACAAAGAGTTGAATAGCAAAACCCTAAAAATGCCAAACCAAATACTGAACCAAACCAAACACAGTAGACGGAAACGGGAGCTGCCTTCTCTGCATGAGGGCAAAGAAGTGGGTTAGTGTCAATTTGTCTGAGGTGTAGCTGTGTGTTTTTCTGTATCTAAGTGTTAATAGGAGGCGAAATGCTTAAAAAACGTTTCTAAAGAATCGGGTCTGCAGTGATGTCTTGTCACAAATTTTGACCCCAAAGCAGCAGAGTAAAATACACTTGTTACAGAATGATGCACACAATAAAGGCCTCAGTTAAATTGACTGGATGAGAGTTGGACGTAAACCTATCCAAAGAATATTTGGTTTGATCCACACCAGAAAAACCGTTGACACACGTGAATCGTTTCACAAACCAAACCTTAGATGTGGGGTTTGCACCTTAAAGGTGAAACCTTTTCTCCACATTGACTCTTAGACGGAATGTATCTGTTAGTGCTTCTATAGATTTTGTAGAAAAAAGATATATGTTCTACTGCTTACTTATCGCTAATGTATGAAAAAGAAAAAACTTACAAAAAAGCCTTTGAGAAAAAAAAAAGATCCTAAAAACATTGATGATAATAACTTGATTTTAGACCAAAAATTTTAACTATCTCTCTTTGGACTTTTTATTTCTCTTTATTATTCATGATTTAGACTTTTTGATTGTACTATTTATTCTGAGTAGGTTTGATTTACTTGCTTGTTATCTCATTTGTATTGTTATTTATTTGTTAATTTATTTCTAGAGGTGCTTTTTTCTTATTCAATGATGTATTTGTGACAGATTTTTTTTTTTTTTCTTTTTTGTCCCCTGCTGAAGTTCTTTCTTACTTCTTTAAACCAAATGATAGCAGAAATGCAACCTCGGGTCCTGTAGGGACTAAATAAGAGAACACAGTTGACTGATGGTCAGTCACAAAGAAACTCTCTTCCTCACTGAGACAACTTTCCTCTTGAAAGGGAAGGGAAGCTCACAGTAGTGAGAGGCAGCACTGTGAGGACCAACCCCTCATGATTTACAGGTGTTTACAGGGGAAAAAAATTCAGTGGGTTTTATGGGCATACACTTTCCTTTGAGTCTTCTTGTAATTAGACAAAGGCGACGTGCTGAAATTCAGTTTCAGTGAAGAAAGCATAAATATGATTTACGCCTGCATGGGGTGTTCTTTGAGGCACAGTGCTGCTTCTGTTCTCTATATTTTCTCCACAGGGAGAACACACTGAAAGCTTTACAGCTACACAACCAAAAACGCAAAGAAGAAGATCAGCTGAGGCAAAAGGCGCAAGTGTTTTTACGTGATAGGAAGGAAACAGGGAGGCATAAGAGAAAGAGGGCGATTTTGGATTCCCAGCAGTAAATCGCCCTCTAGCTTCTCTCTTTGTCTTCGTTTCTTTGTTTCTGTATCTCTTTTTCTTTCCACTTTTCTGTAAGTTCATTTCAACTTTTTTCTTCATCCGGTGTAGGATGTAAAAGAGAGATAGTTCATCATATACCTCATATTCTTTGATGATAAACCAAATAGATGAATGCTTTAAAATGCGGGGCTCAAGTGGGGATCAGGGTACCAGGATGGTACGTGTGGACGGTGTGTTTGTATCGGCTGGGAGCAGACCGAGTAAAGGTCAAAGGTCGATGTCCCAATGGAAGTAAACGCAGGTCTGGGATCGATGAGGGAAGTGAAAGATCACTGAATAAATGGATAAATGGCAAGTTTACTCCATTAGATTCAGATGGTGCCATTTAAGGTCGAAAGGCCATACTGGTTTATGCTCTGGTCTACACACACACACACACATACACACACACAGGCCTTGTCCCCCCTGAAAAACACCCCCGCTGTCTGTGTTGAGCTTTGAACACAGCCCTCTCCTCACATCTGACCCTTACTGCTTCCTCCCTGTCACACACGGACTGTGGGCTTAGAGCTGCTCTTTGGCACAAATCTAAGATCAAATCTGGATCCATTTTTGGCTTTAAAAAGCTTCCAGGTTCATGCCTCTGAGCAACTTTATCATCAAGGTCGCCAAGCCCTCGCTCGCCTTTAGGTCTTTATTGCCTGATGAGGGGGCATGTTGACCGTTTGATGTCCGTGTGTATCGGGGAGCATCGTGGGGCCGGGTATCCAGGGAACGGCTGACACTGAGGTTGCTAGGTGACAGACTCTTCTCACAAGTTAGTGTGTGATGAGAGGAGGGAAGCTGCAGGAAGAGGTGTGCATACGATTGAAACGTCTGGGTTCTCCCTGAGAGTCCATTTTCTTGTTGCGCTCTCTTTGTCTCTCGCGTGCGTTTAGAGGAAGTGGACGCAGGGCGGCACTCCTCTGCGAAGCTCAGAGTTTGAGGGGAAGTGCGTGAAGTGCGGGTCTCTGTGGTGGGGATACCCCATTAGTGAATGATACCAAAGTCAATGCCCTGCCACGAGATACAGCACGATGTACGCGCTCCCCGAAAAACCTGATATCCATTGAATGTTCCAAAACTATAGACAGATTCTATAGTATTACATCGTCTCTTCCAACAAGAGATGCACCTTCACAGCAGCATCTGGGTAAGTAGCTTTAGAGAAATAGTCTCATGGTTCCGTTTTCTGGTAAATACTCGCTTTCTTTCCAAAAGTTTGATGTTCCTATAGTCAGCATGAGGTTAGCAACAAAAAAAAATGGAAGCAGAGGCAGGGGAAGTTACTGCTGCTGGCCTGAACATTGTTCCACATAAAGATATACATTGATACACTTCAGTTTTTTGTGCAGCGTAAGAAACAAACCATCTTAGTCGGTGAGTTTTGCAGGTGCTGGTAGTTTTTTTTGTTATTGTTGTTGTGATGGAATTTTTTTTTATCTTCAAAATTGAATCAGCAACTTTTATTACCTCACACTGGTGGCTGAAAGCACCGTACATGCATGTTATTGACAGCAAAAGCTACATAAACAAGTATGACATAAGTAGTTTTCGCACTGAACTGAAAGTAAGAGGTTGAGTCAGCAGCAGACTGAACTTGGTGCTGAAATGAAGGCAGTCTGAATGGTTACAAATGGTAATACATTTTAACTGTGCATGTTTCGTTTAGAACAAGTGATCAAACTTTGTAGTCAGTAGCAGCACATCTGTTAACAGAGCATTCAGTCTCATGCTAAATTAAGCTATTTCAGGACAACCAACTCCTGGCTGGAGTTTCCTATTTGCCAAACGGACGACCAGGCGTTCTCGTCTAACTCTCGGAAAGAATAAGAGCATTTACCGAAACATCTAACTGTTCCTTCAACCTTATTGAAATCATGTAGGGATGAGGGAATCTGTGTCTCTGGGCAGGAAGCCATGAAAGATGGCACCGCTGGAGAAAGAGAGACAAAGCGAGCCAAGCAAAAGAAACAAAGCTGCTACTTCTTCCTCTGCCCACCATCATCCACACATACATGCACTTCCTCTCCTTCATCACTTTCTACCTTCTCTCTCTCTCTCTCTCTCTCTCTTCTACAATACAGCTTTAGTCCAAAGGTTCTCCAGCAACACAGCAAAGCAAGTCAGATGTTAAAGAATTAAAACCAAAGAGCTCTAACTTGACTTACTCTTCAACACGAAGCCTCCACTGCATCCTTCACTTTTTGCTCTTTCCTTCTCTTTTCCTTCCTGTCTGCTCTCCTTTAAACTCCTCTGTCACCTAGTGAGCCGGTCTTTGAAGCATTAACCTCAGCTATCCAAAGGGAAATAATAATAATAATAATGATGATGATGATGATGAATAATGATGATAATTAAGATGATGATGATGATGAAATGTATATTTTTAAGTATTTGTCATTGGAAAAATAATCTTAAGCTTCTCATAATTATGATGGTCATGACGATGACGACGACAACAATGATGACGATGATGATGATAATGAAGTTTCTCTTGGTATCTTTGTAGCTGTTCTGATCCTTCTTAAGTTTGTGTCCTTTCTGCTCGTGCTGCCAGAGTACCGCTTAACTCCCATCACCTTCCTCCCTCTTTTTTTTTTCGTTCGGCTTACCCCAATGTTTGGTCCTAACGTCTACCTGTCTGACCTTTACCCCTAGATGTTTGTCCTCTCCTCCTCGTGTGTGTGTGCGTGTGTGTGCGTGTGTGTGTGTGTGTGTGTGAGAAAGAGCAAACTGTAAAACATTGACAAGAGGAAGTTTAAAATTTTCTCTGGAAGTGGTTTCTGGTTGTTTGCTGTTAAAAAGGGGAGGGTTCTAGTCTGTCAGTTTGTTACATGTCCACCTGTGTGCATGTGTGTGTGTGTGTGTGTGTGTGTGTGTGTGGGTGAGAGAGACTGGGTGGGGTGTGGGTTTGTTGGAAAGTGGGATGGGTGTGGTAGACAAAAAGATTCCTTGTTCTATGGACAACAACAAACCCCAACACATGACCTGTACTGTCAACTGTAACGTACTGTTTGCCAACTTCCTAGTACATGTAGCTTTAATTCCCCCCCTGTCACAACAGTCAGCTTGTGTCCCTATTGTGCGTGAGTGAATATGTGCGTGCAGGTATGGTTGCGTCACTCTTTCCCTTGTGTCTTCTATCCTGTGATCAGTCTTTACCCACTTTTTCCTCCCCTTCCCTTTTAGTCTGCCCCCTCCTTTTTCTCCCTTGTGGTAGCAAGTTAGCCTTTTAGTGTGTTTATCTTAAAAACCAAACAAAACAAAAAAAAAAAACCAAAAAAAAAAGAAGAAAAATAACTCTGCTTGTTCATTGTACAGTGTTGTTCATTTTAAGTCATTTTTGTAACTGAAAGTGTTTCATTCATCCAAATAAAACAGGAGACAAAAACTGTACAGAT